CCTTTCCCTCGTGTCAGGTTGGAGAGGGACACGTCTGTCCCTGTGAGCTACACCCTCGTAATTGCAGCTCCACAAATATTGACATTTTTTACTGGGGAGGATGCCTGCCTGCTTTTCCCTGTGCCCAAAATGTGCTGAGATGCTCAGTTCACAGGGCCCTCAGCAGAACTGTGATGTGAATTACTTTTGGATTGCAGCACATTGCCTACAATGCCCAAGGTTATTTTTTATTCTTTCTATAGCTATGCTCAGAGAAACAAAGCAAATAAAAAGAAAAATATTATCAACACTCAAGATGTTCCATAATAACATTCCCAAATCTCTTGTGGAAGGTATAAATTAACCCCTCTCTGCATTTACTTTTAATATTCTGAAGCAATAACGTGTGATTCTCCTCTGTCTCTGTGATGAGAGAGAGCAGGGAACAAGAACAAAATCTTCCAAGTGTGGCACATGCGGGACGTGGAGAATGTAGATCTAACAGGCTGGAAATGAGCAATAACCCTTTAGTCACGGTGAGAGTTTAAAAATGGAAATGCCTTTAAGTGGCCTTCAGAATTAAAAGTGTCCCATGCCACTTCCGAGGGAGCTGGAATAATAATGTACATTATTATGGGCTGCCTGTAGCTTCTGCCGAGGGGAGTTCAAAGTTACCTTTCAATCACAAGTCTGATTTGGCTCTCCACAACCAAATTCCTACAAAAAAAGCTAATCTTCCTGAAATTCATCTGCCACATTTCACCTCTGGCTAAAGCTTCTTAGGGGTGTTTGATTGAAGTGGGAAGAGAAGTGTTTAACTTCTCCCTTTTTCTGCTGCTTTTCCATTTTTAACCTGATCTGTCAGTTGCAAATACGTGACACTTCGGTGGGTTTGTGGGCCAAATGTTGTGCAGGGTATGCCTCACTCTAGATCCTATGTGGTGAGGCAGGTGTAAATCTAGAGTAGGGAGGGCTATATATATATAGAAATATGGATAAAAATGACTTGTGCCCGTTTTTAGGGTGGAACTCTGGAAAGGAGTCAGTGGGAGATGGAATAAAAACACCCTGTGAGAGGAAAGGGAAAGGAAGAGTCAGCCCAGGCAAATTCCTGTGTAACAAGCAGAGAAAGGAAGAGCAGGAAGGCTGCTGCAGGAAAGAGATAGCAGGATTCTAGGTTCTCCAAAAGCTTTTCAAGGGGAACAGGTAATGGGAAAATGTGCCTCACATGGGCAAATAAATCCAATTGACTGGCTGCTCAACCAGGCCAGTGGGTGCTGCTGCTTCTCAAAACCACATGCACTGATTTTTGCTGTAGTGTTCGACTGAGGTGCCTTTTGTGCTGTCACTTACTGCCTTAATAAAAAGCTCTCTGCTTTAAAGAGGTGGTTTTTTTAGGAGAAATGACTCTCTCGCTGTTGTTTGTAGAGGCAATAATATTTAGGGCTGTATTTATTAGCTTATCTTGGCTGTTAAATGTTTATGGCTGTTGTTTATGGCCTGTGGAGCAGGGGAGGAAAGGAGAGGAGCTATCAAACAGATAGTGGGAGACCTTGTGGATGCTGAAGAGGTGATAAATAGAACAGTTTGTAAAAGCATTAAACATGTCACAGCTTTTCCCGGGAGGCTGAATGAAGGGCAGCGGCCACAGAACCCACTTGGTTTTGAGTCTGACATTTGGATGTGGAAAATTCCCCCTGAAAACTTCAAATCCAATGGAGTTCTCTAACTTCTCCTGTGAGAAGCCTGCTCTTTCTCTTTTGCTGTGGAAAGCATTTCAGTTTAGGGGACTGTATGTTACAAATGGGTTGCTTTTAATTCTGAATTTTCAGGGGTTACATGGAAGCAAAGGGAGGGGTTTGCTCTGTTCATCCCATTTGCTCTCTCCACCTCCTGCTCTGTGTTTGGTCACGAGAGCAGATGCTGGGATCCTTGGAAAATACCTTGGGCACACCACAGCTTCCACACCAAACTCCTTCTCCAATAAAAAAACAGGTACTCTAAAGCAGGCTGGTTTTACTGCTGGTTAACTTGTCTTTATGGAGTGTGGCAAAACCAGAAGTGCCTGGAGAGCTGATGATGGCAAGAGGTTTAAAAGGAAAGCAATGTGGCACAGAAGTGGTGAGGTAAACAACGAGGAAGGGAGATCTTAAGAACATATTCTGTGAGAAGAAAAAGTTATTCTCAAGTACAATTAAGCTAAGCAGATAATGAGAGGTAGAATTTTTAAAAGGCCGAAAATAACTGAAATGTTGAACTCCTTGAAATGCCAGGTTTTTTTCATCTTATATAACCCAATGAAGCAAATGTTAAAAAAAAATCTTTGAAAGCACCTCAAAGCACTGTAAAAAGCAGTCAAGTATTGGAGAGGTTTAGGAATAGAAAAAAATTACATGATGCTCTTCAAAATGGTTTTAAACAGAAAATAAATTTTTACGAGTTTCAGGCTGACTTTGCTTCTGCTGCTGGAGCTGTGGAATGCTACACACCTGCAGAAAACCTAAATATTTTTTCACAATGCTGATTAGAACCAGAGAATTTTCTAACGTATTTACATGACTGGGTAGTGTTATATTCCTATTCAGGACATGGTGGTGTTCTTGTCTGATGCCCTTTGGTATTGCTTTCCTGAAGATATATCATGAGTAGCACTGTACTTTTTTGAGTAATAATGTGTTTTCTTGGCTTATGATCTTAATAGAGATACTTATGCTGTAACAAGAATCTTAGTCTTGGGACAAGTTTTATTTTGCTACCAAGATTAGACTGGGCACAAAACCAGTTTTGTAAAGCTTTTTTTACATTTTGGTTGATGTTTTAGATGTCATTTTTTCCTCTTCCCTTCTTTCTAGTGAGTGGGGGGGTTTTGCTGTTCTCTTTTCAATGCTGCTGTGCAAGTGCTGATGCTACAGCTTTTGGGACGTCTGTCCTAATTAAGATTTAGTGACTAACTGTTTTTTGATGTTTGTCAAGCCACACAGTAAATAACATCAAAGATGATTATAACTTAATTCTGAACATCCAGCTTTGGTCTGGCAAGGGAGATAAGAAACTTTTAACTGCAATTTTTCTTACTTGTATCAAATAGTAAAGCAAAAGTCCAAGAAGATAACATTTCATTTTCTGCCCCAAACTGTATTTGTATTTCTTATTTATACACACATCTGAAGCTCCTTGTTATTGCTCTAAGCCTCCAAATGAAGGAAACTCTTCAGAGGGGAGCTGGATTGATACCTTTGAAAGAGTTTCATTATTTGATTTTATTTCAAGCCCAGTCTGTTTGCTGAGCCTTCCCCACTAACTTTAATGAGCTTTGCTTTGAAGTGTTTATGCAAAGAGTAAGTAGCCCAAACTGCAGGCTTGAGCAGCCTGCTGCCTTAGCTGGATTCTGGAAAGGTCTGCCTGGGATTCTTGTAACCCTCATTAAAACTCGAAGGAAGTTGGTTTGATTTCTGTCTGTCTTGGTGGAATTTATCCCTCCTCTGCCTACTACTAAATCATCTCTGCCAGACATGACTCATCTTTAGGATTCATAAATTAGAAAGTGAAAATATCTCTCTGAGCCACAGAGTATTCAGTAGAAGCCATTTCAAAAAAATTCCATCAGAAGATCCCCTTGACAATCTCTCTGCAAACTTTATTCCAACGCAGTGTCCCTTGGGCACTTTGTAATTTAACCATCTGTGTGGTATTGCTTCATGGAAGCACAAACATTTTTGGTATTTCAGCTTAATACGTATTTGTAATGCATTTGCTGAAATTGCTAACCACGACCTGAGGAAGGGACAGAGTTTCTATAAAGCTCTTGAAAAAACTGTTTAATCAAAAGTTGATCACGGCAGCTTTTTCAAATACCACCACTAATAGCTACTGCACTCTCAATTTATTGGGACATAGATTGGCTGAGGAATTTGGACTGTTCTAAGCACTGCTCATGGGGTAAGGAGCTCTACATGTTCTGCTGCAGGCTACTGCACTGCCCAAATCTGAGGAAATCTTCACATAAGTGAGAAATGCACAGGTATTCATCCAAGTATGATAAAGCTCAGTGTGAATTCCAAGCTACACTTAAGGAAAGTATGGGGAAGAAAAGCCAGCCTGAGAGAACTGCAGGTAATAGGGAGACAGGATAAAGAAGAGGGATCTGTTTTATTCTCAAATGAGGTGTCATGGGTTTGCTATAGAAAAATTCCTGATAGAAATGTCCCCTTTCTTCAAGACCGCTGAATCCGACTCGGACACCAACTTACTTACCCAACTAAAATTCACAAGCATCTAACTGTAGAATACCAAAAATCTATATTTAGATGTCTAAATAAAAGTGACCTGGATTTGAGAGTCAGCTCCACCTGAAGTTTCTTTAGCTCTGTAGAGGAGTCAATGAGCACTGCAGTTTAAACTCATTGAAAATGAGGCCGCCTGGCAAGACAAGGGATATTTATCTTGTGCCTAGTGCAGCTTGTTTGGATGGAATGGGAAGGAGGGAGGACAATAGCAAGAAAAAAAATTTGATATATGGGGGGTTTTGGCTCTTTCTCTTCCTCCTTGAACCTCTAGGCTCCTGTCTGAAATAGCACCAGGCATTTTTTTAGCAGCTCTAAGCCTATTTTTAGGAGCTGGTGGTGGAGGAATGATAGCAGGCCTGAGCCCTGGGGTTTCCATTGAGCTGTATGAGGAGTGCCCGAGGAGCCAAGCTCATGGAAAAAAGGGAAAAAATTAACAGAATCAGTTTTTCTACCCTCATGAGTTAGTTTCAGCCTCAGACAAGTCTCTCAGGGGGACCTGGCTTCAGGCTGGGAAACAATAAGGAGCTGGAATTAATGCATTTTCCAGGAGATTGTTGCACATATAGTTGTAGCTGGAAATTGGCAGAAGACATTTTTCTCCTTCCTTCTTAAATTGCTTGTTACCTCTGAGCAAGTGGTCCTGGTTTTTATTTCCCAACCTGATCTCCTTCCCTTCCTCCCTCCCTCCTCCCTGTTAAACAGAACATCCAAGAAATAGCAAAAGAAGGTACCTACGGGATTCAGGAGAATGGTGAGGAAGAGTTCACCTCCTCGGATACTTTTGTCCAGCTCCTGAGGACCACCAGGATATTCTTTGTAAAAAATAGTGTGAGTGAAAAGGCCACAGGTCTGTCGAGGGAGCACCTGGCAGCAAAAGAACAGCAGCTTACAGGTATTGCAGCAACAAAATCCACCCGAAGAAGGACTTTGTTTTCCTTAATTCAATTCAGTATTTTTTATTTTTTACTCAGTTAATACAACAACCAAAACCTACATTTAGTAGAGCATTTGGAAAAACATTGCTGATTTTGAGCCTGTTCCAGTGGTAATTAGACTCTGTGAGAGTTTGGTTTTGAACACTCCCTCTGCCTTGTTCAGGGGATCACAATTTTGACTTGGTAAGCACGGGCAATATTCAGATCAGCTTTTGGGACTTGAAATCATCCCTTGGAATAGTTGTCAGTTCACTTTAGCACACCCAAACTAAAGGTTTGCAGCAGGCTGGAAGGCCAGGCCAAAGGACTGGGTAAGTTTTCCTGTCCCCTGTGCACTTTGAAGTGCATGGGAGGAGCCTTCTCTTCCCTGGCACACGTGCACAGGCTGTAAGAGACAGGCGGGGTCCTGGTCCTGGCTCTGGGAATTTCAGGAGCAGAGCTGAAACTTCAGCCTTGCAGAAGTGCTGAAGGAGATTACTTACACCTGTTCACCTTCCCAGGTGGTGGCTTTCTAATCCTTTCATGCATAAAGATGAAGCAGAGCTGGGAACAGAGGTCTTAGGCAGTTTAATGATTTTGCAGAGTGCAGCCATGACTCGCTTGGTAGCTGATGGGACCACGAGCACATTTAGTTTCTAAGGAATATTTCTGCAGTTGCCTGAGTCTGTATGACTTGTTTTTTTTCCCTCTTTTAAACTGCCTAACAAATGCACTCTTTTGGCATCCTTATCCTGCTCGATCCCAGGGAATTTTAAGGGTGCTGTGCCACTTGAGGCACGCAGTAAAAGCAGCTCCCTTTGGGGTCCCTGCAGTACAATTGCTATGAACATGGAAATGCAGTGTACCATGATGCCATTGTGGATGAAGCCCCGTCTGTACCGTGCAGGTTTCAGGTGTGGGTACTCTTCTGTGCTGGTCACCCTGATGTGCCACACCTTCTTCCAGGCCTCGTAGAGCTGCACGTGCACCGGGTACACCCCGGAGTGGTGCGGAGCCACCGCGTAGCCCATGCCCGTCGGGATGCCGTGCTCCTGCAGCACACCACGGGGGTGGAACACACACACAAAAAACCAAACATGGGATTATTCAAAGCTCTCTTCCTGCACACTGTGGCACTGGAGAAGTGGAATTACAGTTGGAATTACAGTGAGAAGTAATCCTCCTGGATTATGTTCCATTGCTGTTGCACAGAATAGATTTGCCTCCCGTTCCATTACATATTGCACGTATTTTAACGTCATCCTACCTGTCTGGGTCTTTTTCAAGGTAATCTAACAGTGCTGCTTATTTACTAAGCTAGTAAACAGATGGAAAAAGAAACGTTGCAGTGACATAGATGGGATTTGTTTCCTAGTTCTGACATAGCACAACTTGCCTTCATAGTTTAATAAATAAATATCTGGCATATCCTCTGAACCTCCTTATTTTTTTCCATGGTATTAAGGTAGTAGCAAAAAATAGCTTGGACTACTTTTACATCTTATAAATATTTATATTTAGCTCCATTTCTATGTGGAAATATGTGCATCTTCATGAATATAATCTATAGGTTATGCTGAAAATCTCTTTCAAAGACACAAATTCATTTTGCTCCCAGTAGTACCGGACATGTCAGCTCTTTTCTACTCCTTTCAAACTGATGTGCAGAGGGAAACAACTAAAATATGAGATGATTATTTTATGGGGTTTTTTTGTCCTTCCCCTTGCCCACATTATCCATTGATTACTTGAATTCCAGGAACAGCAAATTCTGCTTGGCATCTTCAAGTACTTAACAAAGAAAGGGTTTTGATTCATTGGCAAAAATTAAGTTAAATCTGTAGGGACCTCTCATTCCTACATCACATAATGCAACCACTTAAAATTATCCATTCCTTATAGCAAAGACCTCAGGTTACTGACTGATCTTGTAAAAGAGAAACCCAAACTCTCTATTTTGTAATTTATGGAGAACAAAATGTAATTTCAGTTTATTAATGCTGTTACCTACTTAAAGAGGCATGAGTCAGTTTAAGGGTGGAATGAGGGATAGGTCTATAATAAGCGATTGTAAATCACCCTGTTCTCTATTTTTTTTTTTTTTTTGCCATGGACATGTAGAAAGGAAAAAGCTGTATCAAAAGGTTTCTTTAAAGCTGGCCATTTATTGCTGTGCCTGAGAGGTCTGTGATGCTCAGACTGTCAAACTGTTAACCTGAACATCCTGTCTCAGCTTGAACATACAAACCTTCACCAAATGTGGGGTAGGGGGTACACAGACACACAGATGTTAGGCAGATGTGTCCTGGGGTTGATAATGAACACTGCTCTGATGACATATCCCAAAGTAGGGATCTGGATGAGTATGTGTAAGATCCTGTTTATCTCTTTACTGTTTGATGCTGGAATCGCCATAGCAACAGAATGCTGAAGTGCCAATCTGCCATTCACAGATAAAACAAGGCAGCTTTTCAGGAGTTCTCAACATAAAAAACATAATAATAAAACCTGCTTACTACATAGTTCATCACACAAATACATCAGGCACACAGATATCCAATATGGATTTAAGAAGAAACAACTATCAAATAATTCTATTTTCTTTGGGCAGTTCTATTCGCAATTTACCTGGGAAGATTAAATACTGTGTGTTCCCTTTCAGTGCTTTTCTGTTGCACTTCTTTTCCTCTCATTTTGTTATTAAACTTACTTTGGGAGTAAAACTCATGTGTTAAAGGAGTATATTGGTGTGTCAAGATATGAGAAATACCTGTACTGGGCATTTTTCCTTGTATATTCTAAGGAACAATTTCCTGATTTTTACGTTCAAAATGTACATTGGGTTTTTTAATTTCGAAATTTGTGCTTGTTTGTTTAGTTGGGAATGTATGTGTGATTTGCCATGGTCAGAGAAAACAAGAAAGCAAACTTTTAATTTAATAGATTTTATGTCTGCTGTAGATCTTTTCACACAGCCAAGGTGCAGGTGTGAAGGCTTTTATTAGATGCAAAAGCTAAATACAACCTCAGCTAAGTCTGCCCAACCTTTTGGCTTTGTCTGATAGCAGGTGATGCAGCCAATGAGTGTTTCAGAAGAAAATAAGGTGAGGCAGAATAAATCTCATCGTGCTGCACAGGATGATGTTATCCTGTATTTACAGCCCATTTTTAGAGTCAATTTCCAGTGGGCATCTCTCCTTCCCTCCATTAAGTACAGGTATTAATAATGGGACAAATGAGACTCTTTTCATCACATGTACATGCTTTGCCTTGGCTATGTGGTCACTGGGCCCTCATATTGTTGGTATTTAATTGGTGTATTAAAAGCTCATGGTGTGTTTGTGGTTTGAGCAGCCCAAGAGTTCCAGGCAGAGGAAGTGCTAATGTGCACCTGCAGTTGGTTTAAGCAGGAGGTGGGAGCCAAGGAGTGCTACTAGACAGGTCCTCAATTGATTTGTTTAGTTTTACATCTTTTTCTTCTTCCTATCAGCTCACAGCTGCCTTGTACAGGCAGTGACAGTTTTTGCCCGGTCTCTGCTGTGCTTTGGGCTCTGTACTCACAAATGAGCACAGAAGATAATCACCGAGCAAACAAACGGAGGGATGAAATAAAGAGCTACAGGCTTTGGATTAGAGACATTCTACATGGTTTTGTCAGATAAGGATGTACAAAGGGGGAGGAGGAATATCTTACTGATGGCAGGGAAAACTTGGTTTGCTTTATTTCTGGAAAATATGCTAGCATAGACTTCTGCTTGAGTGATTTTTTTTGCCTGTGTATCCATTGCATTGCCTATAAACAAGGAGAATAATACTTCAGGAATTATCAGTTTGTAAAATTTAATCTGAGGTTTTGCTCATTAGTGTCTCTAAAGTGTTTTGGGAACCTCTGACAGAGAAAAAAAACCCAAACCACAAAACATGATCAACTCAAATCCAACTGATAATCAAAAGAATTGTAATTTCCCATTTCCTTAGGCAGCCTCTGGAACACACCATCTATGTTTACACAAACAGGATGCCAGTGTGACAGCAAAGCTTTGGGTGGCTTGTGACTTACTTTACCACAGTTCAGATCTCTGTCTCTTGTTCCTGTGAGGCTGAGGATCTCGTGCTTGATGAGAGATTTGGCAGTGAGGACTTTGGGAATGGGGCTATGGATGGTGCAGCTGTGGGGCCCATCACTCAGGGACACATAGATAAGGATTTTGCCAGGCAAAACTTGCCCTGCTGCTTGCCACATCCAGAGCAATGGTACAGTGACATTTATGCAAGATGTGAGGAAGTTTCTTCCTCTCACCACGTAGGCAGTGGAAAGGAAAAGTGTCTCAGTGATACATAGAACAATTTGGAGGGCTCTGGGTGAAGGCAGTCTCCTGGCTCACAAGCAATGTACATGGAAGGGAATCCTTGAAGGCAGATGCACAGAGGTGTCCATATCTGCACTGAAATCAAGGCAATTAGATACCTAATTAGCAATTAGTTGTGTGTGTACAGAACTGTTCAGATATCTGATTTCTATCTGTGTGTTGTGACAGAGCTGTTTGAGGCAGGCTGCAATTGAACGCTCCCATTTTATAGAGCCTTGTTAGGAGGTGTGGATAAAGCCATGTGAAACACAGCCAAGGCTTTTATCTACCAGCCAGAGTAGCCTAAAGGTCTTAATAAACAGAACTTTTGTGTGTTATTTGGGATCTTCAGCAACCTTGAGTATTGTTCTTGGAAATAATGATGTGCTCTCCCTTCCCGAAGACTCTGTTACCTCCTTAGCCATGTTTAAAAAAAAATGAAGAAAGAAATAGAACCTTAGGTGAAGAATTAATGTGATCACACTTCCAAATAATTACTGCAGCTTTCCCAGAAGCTGACACAAAGTGTCACCTCTATGTGCAGCCAAAACAGGAGGTGGGCAGATATGGTAAATAAATGAGAAATGCAAGAGAAAATGGCACCAGCATCAAGCTGTCTTCTCCTGAGTATAATATTAAATAAAGACAGTGGACAACAAACAAAACATGTGTAACATCAAGCAAAATTTCTATGTGTTGTTCCAGACGTCTGATTTAAATTTGGATCCACGTTGTGAAATCAAAGAATAATGGAAAGTGTTTGGCTTGAACTTGGAGGGCTTAGAGAACAGCTGCAGAACAGGGAGTTGCTTTCTCAAATAAGACATGCTGCTGAGGATGAGAAAGGCAGGCAGGAACCAAACCCACTCTGAAGTCATGGCTGGGACCTCTGTGATAGCTATCAGGAAGGCTGTCATAACGGGAAGATAAATTTCTCCCACAAGAGAGAATTTCAGAGGAAGCCTTTTGAAAAGAAATGTTCTCATAAGGAAATCGTACAGCTCATATAGATTCAAGGTCAAGGGGTTGATACAACCCCTGTCCAAATGTTAGCAGGAAATAAAAGTGTAATAACAGCAGCTTTTCACTGACATCAGCTCCTTATTTATAGGCACCCTAAGGAGTCTCTACCCTTCAGGACACGGGCTTTATCTTTCTGGAGTTGAAGTTGCAAACGGATTCCATTACCAGCTCTGTTTTCAGGCTATGCTACAGATTTTACTCCCAAAGGTGGCTCGACCTGGATGACTTTATGCTTCCTGAAAATACTTGGAGAATTTCCCCATAGGTTTAAAGATGAAGGGACTGTGTATTTTTGAGATATGGATCGTTTAAAAAATTACTCTTACTTTTAAAATCTCAGCTCTGTTTGGGTCTCTGGGCCAGGCTACCCAAAAGGCATGAGCAGGCCATGCCAGGAATGAGGCTGACAGGGAAGCAGGACATGGGAAGGGGGGGAAGTCTGGCATAACAAGTAAACAGTTAAGCCACTTTTAATTAATTTTCTTTAAAGGTTGTTAGGAAAATGTTTCCATAAACAAGGGAATAAATTGCTTCCAACTGCTTGTTCAAGCATTTGCCTCTGCCTTTTTCCTGATGTGCCTTGGCTGGTGTGAGGGATGGGAGGAAGGGGCTTGGCCTTTTGGAGCTGGGAAAGGCTGGGATTGCTGTTCCCAAAGCAGCCCCACTGTGTCCCTCTGCTCCTGTGAGCAGCTCTGGTTGCCTGGCATTTCTGTGCCTCACCACACAGTGTCTTTTCCAAAGCCAGCACTTACAGATTGCAGGTTCTCTTTGTCATGTGCAGTAAGCCAGCAGAATGATCCTGGAAGGGCTGTAAATTGTACCAGTACTGTGAGGCCTGGACAAGGTGGGAGGATGGCTTGTGCAAGTTCAGAGCACAAATGAGGAAAAGGGAAGCACCTTTATCTATCAATATTAGCAAGAGGTTAGCTCTATAAAGAGCATTTTTCAAGCAGGTCATTTAAAAAAGGCACAGTGAAATCCAGCAGCTCTGTCAGCACTAAGATTTGTCCCAGACCATAGCCCAGGTTTAGGGTTCCTCCCTGCCTTACTGAGGATGTTTGCAGCAGGCTTTAGGAAGCTGATAACCTGGGTACAAACTGCAGCCTAAAGTTTAGAAGGCCAGCTGGTATCTGCTGTGTTTTCACTGATTCTGGTCCCTCTGGTCCTGCCAGGGTACTTGGGGCAGGGCTGCTCCCTCTGCAGAGAGCCTGTGCCACTGGGAAAGGCTAAGACAAAATTCAGTTTGAGTCACAAACAGGCTGGGTTTGGGATGAGTTTCTAACCTCACTGCCTCTGTTTGCATGCCTGAGTAAATATACAGGTATTGTATGGGCAAGCTTGAAACCAGTGTGGGAAGCATGGCCAGGGTAGTGAAGGCATGGTAGTAAATCCCTTGGGAACCCTTACTCACTATTGCAAACTCTTTGTTGTGGATCATCTGCTCCACCAGTGAGGACTCATTGTGGAAGAGGTGTGGCTGCATGTGACTCCACATGTGGGGAAACCACCAGAACTCATCCACAGATCTCAGCAGCAGATCATCACCCTCATCCTCCTCCTCAGTCCCTGCAGAGGGAAGAAAGGGAGAAAAAAGATACTAGAAAAGCAAAAATGGACCATAATTGTTTTTTTAACACAGAAGAGTCTGCCAAAAACCCGGTGTCTTTGGCCTGTCTCACTATGTTACTGTCATGTTTATAAACTGTGGGAATATTAAACAGCAAGATTTTTTTTTAACATATATGATCATAAAAACTACCCCCTCCCCACTTTCTCTATTTGCTTTATTTTAATGCCACACTATCTTTTCATTGCCATAACCCAGCAGCTTGGATGTAATGTGACAAAAACAGTGTCAGGAATATTAATGCTGTTTTCCAGATCTTTTGAAAGCTGGACAAATGATGATGTTCAATCAGTATTGAAGAAAAGGTTCAGTATATATCAGTTATTTTCCATTTTGTCCTGATAATAATGCCACTGTTAAATACAAAATACTCTCCATAAAGGCAACATATGGATAAAAATGCAATCTTATCAATGCTTCCCCTCTATCCTCCTTGTAACTACAGCTTTATTGGTCTTGGTTAATTGAAATCTGATAATTTCAGGTAAAGTGTGAAACAAGTTTTAAAATATAATTAGGTGGAAAGCATGAAGCTGAAATGGCAAAAGGGTTTCAAATATTTCTTAGGGTTCAGTATTCAATTTTGGCCAGATTTAATCTTGAAGTAAACCCAATAAAACCTCCTATGTTAGTGAAGGGTATCTGCTGCAGGCAGAAGTGAATATATGTGGCTGTAACCAAGCAAACTTCCATTTGACAAAGGACACAACGCTGCTCCCACCATCTGCAGACACGTCTGCCCTGCTTTTCCAGCCTGGAAAGGCAAAGTGACGCTGCAGTAGCTTCACCCTCAAACTACCCAACAATATTTGCTTTCTAGCAGATTTCCTTCGTGGTCTTTGCCATTTGAAGGCTTTTATTTTGCTTCAGTCTAAGAAATAATTGCCAAAATCAGTCTCCTGATGCAAACATAGAAATCCTGTCTTCTTGCAGGCCCTTTAATGTTTTGCGAAACTCATTGGAAGCAAATGCTCCACGGATGTCACTGTTTACTTGGCAGGAACATCCAGAGATGCCTGTTCAGTGCCTGCACTTCAGCTCTTGGCTTTTATTTTTCATTTCTGCCGTGGTTTTTGAAGAATGCCACTACACAAGGAGAGCAGTACTTTGAAACTTTCTCCCAGAGTCACTGAATCCCTTTGCTCCCCTCTTTGCAGCACTCTGCAAGTTCTAAGGAAGCTGCTCCTGCTGATGGGAGTGCTGCTGGGAAAAGAAAACAACCTTGTTTACTAGGGAATTGCATACTGAAAAGAAAGGCCTGATGGCTGCTCCCTCTGTGCCCTGCATTTTTGGAGTGACTGCTGGCTTGGTTTTGGGCTATGTGCTTCACCTGCAGTCACTCAGGCACGGGCAAGGGAAGAAACTTAACACAGGCTTTCAAAATGGGACAGAGCAGGGAGACAATGGTGTTTGTGAGGCAACTGAGGATCTCTTTGATAAGCCAAAGTTAGGGATGAAGAGGAAAAAAGTGGGTATTTGAAATTCATAAAGAAGTGCAATCAGAGTAGATTTAGGTCAAAGTATGTTTTAGTGCCTTATCAACTTTTAAATAGAGTGGAGTTTTTGAAATAAATCCTACTTTTCCCCATTAATTTCTTTGTAAATTTAAATATACACCTAATAAAACTTTGTGTTTCTTTTACTGTAACAAAAACCAAACAAGATGAAGCATAATGGTTGCCATTTCAAAGAATAACCCCATCCTATGGGATCTATGAAATGCCAGAGGTGAGGCAGAAAGGTTCAAGTTTGAACTTGTGTGGTGGCATTGCTTATGAGGTTAAATTTTCTCACAAACCGTAGAAAAGAATGCTGTTTGATTTTATGAATTCTTAGGTAGTGTTACTGCCAAAAAAATCTCATCAGAGTTTGAATGGAGCATTTGGTGGGTGCTTATATTGTTTATTCAGAGTATTGGAGGCTAAACAAGGGATCTTGAGGTTTTAATGTCTTGTACAATCAACATCCTTCCTGTAACTTTCTTCATTTAAATGTGAAATCTGAAAAATGCATAAAAGCTATGAACAGGGAGCATGTGTCTGCTTTGAGTGCACTTTACACAGGTAATAATTCAAAGTTTGTTTGTGCATAATATTTAACCCCATATTTTAAAACTAGAACCGTACTTAGAGGTCTCTGGAGTTCAAAACTGAAGCAGAGCTGGAAGCTACTACCAATAATCTTGTACATCTTAAAGGCAAATGCTAAGAAGGTGTTAATTGCAATTGCTGCAGCATGAACAAGTGGCAAGTGTTTGTTAAAGCTGCAGAACTGACAGGGTCTGCTCTTTCTGTTAATGGTGTTAACGCAGTGCAGAGTTTACCAGCTGATGTGGCCTGATGTATTGCAATACCTGATTTGTCAGCAGCAACTTTCCATGAAAATGTGTAACAGTTTAATCTGCCAACACATCCTCACTCATCTCCCTCCTGTGGTTTTAAACTGATCCAAGTTTTGGAAAGGAGAGCACAATGCCACACTAAAGAAGTCACTAAGGCATGGCAGCTGTGGAGCACTAATAGGACACGTTGAGTATCTGATAGTAAAAATCTCTGTGGATCAGCAAGCCACGTGTACAGTAATTAAAGAACACCTTTCATGCTTTATTTATAATGAGTCAATGAAGTGTAAATTGTGTGGAGAATATGCTGAAACCTTTGCAGTAGTTGGGATGACCAAGGACCATCCCCACCCTGGAAATGAAGTGCTCTGTTATAAACCCGACTGCATCCAGGCCCCTTAATGGAGCCAAGGACATGCTTCAACTTGGGAAATAGTTCTGTGCTATTCTGGGGAGCCTGGAGAGCCTTAGGAAGATGGGCACACATGTATACCCTCCTCTTTTCTCTCTCTACACTAGTAGCAACTCTGAAATTGGCCAGCATTGCATCAGAAAACCTGGAGGGACAGGAAGGAAGGAAGGAAAAATAGTGGCAGGTCAGGGAGTGAGGTTTTCACAAAGGCTGCATGTTCTCTGCCAGCCACTGCCCACTGTCATTAATATTAACAGTAAATCCAGCTCTTCATCTCCTCCCCTCCATGGATCACCTTTCCCCACAGTGCACATGAGTGATTGGTACCAGCCCTGCTCTGGAGATGGCCCCAGAAGAGCAGCCTGCTTTAGAGCAGCTCAGAGCCCTGGGCTGCTGCTGTTTGTTTTGCTGCATTGCACATGAGTCCAGTTCATGTCCAGAAGGAGCAGCTGCACAGGCAGCTCAGCCTGAAGTGAGGAGAACACTGCACTTGTGTCTCCAGAGCTGCTCTCTGACCACAGGTCTGCCACTGCCTTGTTATATGAGTCCAGGCAAGCAATTCCATCTCTGCCTGCCTCTCATTTTTCCCAGGCTCTCCAGCCTGTTATCCATGAGGTTTCCTGGGCAGCAGTTGCTCAGCATTAAGTGCTTGCACACGGGGAAAACAGCCTGGACTTAGTGACAGTGATACAAATATAGGATTTTGCCTTCTGCCTACTCATCCCTCAGATGTTTCCTCATTTCCCTTCTCCCAGGGTGACCTGCCTCATGGTCTAGGAAAGCAGGGACAGCATCATTCCTAGGTTTTAAACTCACCCTCCCATCCTCTTGCTGCCTTCTCCCATGCTCCAGATTAAGTTTCCCTGGCATCACTCAGTGAGTGGGGCTGAATGAGCTGACAGCTGAAGGTTTTGGAGCTGGTCTCCAGAGGTGGGAAGGGTTATGGGGTTTGGAAAGACAGACAGGAGGTTCTCCCTTGGAAGGAGTCTTTTCTTGCCTCAGCAGTACTAGGAAGCAGCACAAGTCAGTGGCACCAGAGGGAAGCCTGAGTGGAGGTGCAGCAAAGGGAAAGGCAGAAGAAGAGGAAAAGAAAGAACATTTTAAAAAGGGGATATTGTGCTGTGGAGAAATGGAGCAAAAATGAGAAAGGAGTCACAAGGATGAGGAGATGTGGAAGTGTCTCATCTTGTACAGAAGCACAGTGCAAGTGTGCAGCTTGTAACTGCACTGAATGTGGAAAGGGCAAGGTTTCAGTACAAATTTATTTTCATCATGTTTTCCTTTTATCATCCCTCCTGATTTGCAGATCACTGAGACAGATTACCTTCACAGGTATAACAAAATCTGGTGCATCCCATTGAAATGCTTCTGCCTCCTCAGAGATTCTGAGATGTGATTTTCCCCATCTTTTATATTTTATCATACCTATCACACCAGAAAAACCTTACTCTGTCTTCTGTGCTGGCCTGTCTGCTGTGAAATTAGAGAGATCTCTGCAACTGCTTTGCCTCCTTTATAACACTAAGATTTGCCACCACACATCTTTCAGGAAAACACCAAGGGCATCCTGGTGTACCTGAGCAGCTCAACCACAGTGAGTCTTTACCCCTTTGGACACTGAATTAGACACTGAAATGGTGGAACATATACTTCCCAGTGAGTCACTGGGTTGTTTAGACAGATATTTTTTAAAGCTATATTTTAAATTCTGTCACCTATTTAACTGCAGCTACCTGAGAGCACAAAGTTCCTTCTTACCTGTGTGGTAAAATTTTCCTGAAAATCCAAGGTTGAAGGTAAAATTTGCAACCTGAGTGCGCAGTAAATTTTGAGTCTCTAGTAAAGCCTGAAATAAATAAGAAATTAACATGGATTTAGAAAAGTTAATATTATTTTAGGCTTATCTTTGTTTTATCAGACTATTACAGAGAGCTTAATTTGTTCTGTGAGAGTTTGATGGACTAGAAAAGACAGTGAGAGTGCCTAAGTATCCAGGGAGGTGATGGTTCTGTGGCTTGGCCCAGGATATTATCCATTGGGGCAGTGATTATGGCAGCATTTGGATGCAGCCACTCAGAGGCAGCAATGTACTGGATCACTGGCTCACCCATGCTCTGGGTTATCAGTGAAGCCTGATAAAATGTGCTTAAAACCTAAAATAAAATTAGGAATACTACTCATCATCTAGGCACAAAGATGTTGGGATTTACTTACCTGCAGGACTAGTTTGGGCTGTGTCTGAATAGCAAATTCAGGCTCAAGTGTGAATGAGCAAAGCTTCAGGTTTGACCCGTGCTAGAAGCAGTGTCCATGTCATAAATTAATTTTTAAGTTAATTAATGTTGAATTAATTAATTATCTCCAAGCTAAGATAAGCCCACTGTAAATGAAATGGAAGGAAAGGGTGCTGCTTATAGAAGAAATAAGTAGTCTTGGCCACTTGTCCAGTTTTTGTTTTGGACATATTTCCAGTTTGTAGGGAAAGAGAAGATGTCAGCCTGTGCCAGCTTTGCTTTGTTAACTAGTGGTTGTTAGCTCTGCACTGCTCCCAGAGCTGCTCCTTGTGCACAGATCTGCTTGGCATCCCCAGCCCCTGGAATGTGGGTGTGCTGCATGTGAGATGGGGAGTGCCTTTACCTCCCTCTTGCCTTGCCAATGCTGAATAGGTTATAAACTCTGTTTTCGTCAATTTTCCCTGTCTCCATTATGTGGCTCTTGAGAACTTTTCCTATTATCTATTAATAACACTTCTATTGATTAGACTTGCATGTTCTTGCAGAGATCAAAGATGAAATGATTGCCGTGGTTTACACACACCCTCAGCCCAGTTAATATTGTCCTTAATTTGAAAAAATTATGTTCTCTATGGTCATAATTTCACTTCACTTTGCAGGAAAAATAGTTTTTTGGTCTAATTTGAGCAATAACCAGCACCCCTACTTAGGACCAGGAACCAAAAATATCTCCAGTGCAGGATAAACAATGAAACCAGGGTTTAAGCAGCTGAGGTGTGTGAGTGCAATACAAGAGACTTCCAGGCAGGGTACAATTATTTGGGGGTTTTTTTGTTTGTTTTTGTTTTTTTTTTTTAATAGAAGCATACATTGGGTGGCAAGGAAAATGTAAAACAGAGATAGTGTTTATCAGCTACAACAGTCACCAAGCAACTTCCTCTCCTTGCTAAAGGAAATAAAGTAATCTTATGACAGTGAATCTTGTGCTTTAGCATTAAATATGAAGGTAGCTGTATGGTTTCCAGCTTATCTTGCCAGACATTTAGTAAGTTGGTGATTTCAATCCTGTGACAATTTCTCATGTGGGACTATATTTACATAATATATAACAAGTAAATGTTCACTAAAATGTAAAACCTCAGAGATGAACACCACTGTTAGCTGAGACATTGAGGAAAATCCCTGGCTGGTAACAACTGGCACTAAATTGACACCATTAAAGTCAGAAGCATAGAATCTGAGTCATTATATTTTAGAACATAATTTCCCAAGCTATCTAGAGCATTTTAGATATGTTGAGAAAGACTGATGGGCTGAGCAAAATCAATTTAATTTTCCTTTGAGGGAAGAACATCTTGAGAAATTATCATCATTTAACATATAGTACAAGCAGGGGCATGGAGCAAACATCATTTCATCACCTGGGCTCCTCTCTGCTGCTCCCTCACATCTCAGGAAGATGACAGGGATAGGCAGGAGCCTTCCAGCCCAGAGAGGTCTCATTAAAAACACAGAGCGAGGATTAAGATGTAAATCCTGCAACCTGCAGTGTGTCAAGCATTTTCCTCTGCCTAAAGGGCAAATCTTGTCACTCAAACTGGATTTGGCTTGGTCCTAAAGACCTTTTTTTTTTTTGCCATTTCAATTTCCATATATGCATATTAATTTATATAATATGCAGCTGAATTTTATTGTCATGACCTCCTCTCTTTTTAATGCCAAGAAGATCTTGTCAGCTAAGCCAGTCCAAACTTACTCTGTCACTGCTTGTCTGTTTGGGGGAAGGGCAGTAATATCTTCCACACCCTTAATAAGAAAAAACTTTTTAGGTGATTAGGGTCTGCCTTTCCTATCTTTAATGAAAGGATAGAGAGGCTGCACATCCCTGGCAGCAAGTGCCAGAAATCTTTGTGGGATTTGCATAGGCTCCACGTGAGGCAGGAGGTATTTATTTTATTTTATTTCATTCTGAAGGTTCAGCACGATGGAGAAGGGCTGTTGAATTTTAACAGCTGGAAAGCTGTTCTCTTTCCAAGGCCAGGTGTCACACGGCTATTCCCACTCTGCCTGCTGTCCCTGGCTCCACAGCTATCCTCCCTTCCCTGGGGGCTCAGTGGCTCCCATCCCATCCCAGTCCCCATTGCATGCCTGTGGAAATAGAAGCAGCATTCCCAGTCGAACCCACAGGTGGTTGTTTCTGCACAGTTAAATAGATCATGCTTAATAATGATGACTTTGCAAGGGAAGAGCCATGGAGCACACTGTGCATGGAATAACAGGCACATGTCTGTGCCACACTAAGCAAGGACAGGGGCTTTTTTTAAGGTGATCTAAGCTGTTCTTTCAAATACAAACCCTTAATTGCCTGGAACCTCTCAAACCTCATGGATTTAACTTTATTAATAGATTCTTTGCTTTGTCAGTGAAGCTTCTCTCTGACAGCCACTAGATACAGTTTCTTCATTATATTGCATTCAGCAACCTTTTACATTAATCCATATAATTACCTTTTGTAGATTTGAAGTTGCCGTGTCTTTATTCTTCATAATTGGTGCATCTATTAGGAAGAAGTTGATATTTTCCTGCTATGTCCTTGTTAATTATAACTCTATCCTTCATTTACATAATAAACTTTTTGGGGCAATTTCTGCAGGAACATTTCATGCCTAATAGGAAGTAATTTGCTTTCCTTCATTAAGTACATTAAAACTTCATGCCCCAGACATCATTGACTGTAAACATTTGATTCTGCTCAATTTTAATGCACCAAGGCATTTTGCTCTGCCATATTAGGTTTATTTATGTGCTATGTTCTGGATTGTTAGCTGCTAATGAGACTTTGGCTCTTATTGCTCTAAGGCCTGAACAGTAACCTCATTTTAATGAGTTCATTATTTGCTGCCTTCTGAGTGGAAGACAACAAATTTTCCTTTTAATTAAAGGTCAAAACACCTCTGGCTGAGGGAAGTGTAGAGGTTATCAAATCCTTAGAGAAGGCAAATGAATGACTTTTCCTGATTTTGATGCCAAGCATGAGCTGGCCAGGCTGAGGTAGAAGGTGCCTCTCTGGGGAGCAAAACTCCAAATCTAAGTTAAGTGATAACAACGCTAAAACACCATACTGGATTTCTGAAGACATTATTAAGGCAAAACAGAACCTGAAAGGCAGCCAAAGAAATTAAAGAGGCTTTCCTGCTCACCCAAAGGTCTGTGTGGATCAATAGAGCTGCTAAAGCATGAGCCCTTCCTTGCATGTGCAGAGGTGTTTGGGGTGAGGAGGACAGATGCCAGATGGACTGAGCCAACACAATGCAATCTTATTTCTTATAGGGGAAAGCGAGGCAAATACTGGGGCTGTTTGTAAGGAGGCAGATGTAAATGCAGCTGTGGGTTTGTGTGTGTGCAAGTGCACAGACATGGACTGGAGATCCCTGAAACTTCAGTTAAACCAAAAAATGATTGATTATGGGAATTGATGCACAGATCCTTGTCCTCCTTCTAGTATTCTATTAACCAATATTGTTTCATGTGCCTTTCATCCTGTTCCCACGGCAGGTAACAGCATTAGAGACAAGAAGGGTTCTTAGGAAAGAAAGGACCAGTGTCCGTGAGATCAGCTGGTGACAACTTAATATCTAGTTTTGGAGGAAAATCCAAAGAGTCTCTGAAACACAGACGTTGTTTAGCTTGAAAACTGCAGCTGTCAGAATATCTTTATGACACCTCCAAACATTATTTCTGCAAAACAGAACCAAACTCCTGACACTTGGAGGTGTCTCAGGGACATTGCCAGGAACTGAGAGCATCAGGAAAAGTGCAGGAGGGACACAAGATTTGTAGGACTTAACCTTTCCCCAGTATGGAGCAGAAAAGCCTGGCATTTCATTAGGGCTCCTGCTCATACCTGTGACTTTCCAGAGGCAATGCTGTCAATGTGAATTTTGGGAAGCAGCAAGAGGTCCCTGTGTCCATGGCAGGATCTGTGTGCTCATGGTGCTCAGCCTCTGGGGCATTGCACAAGGGAGAGCTGCCCAAGGAAACACCATCCCAAGTGACTACAGAGGATGCACAATGTGTGGAGTGGGTGAGGAAGTTCTTCACTCAGTCTGGAAGGAGATCAAGGGAAGGAGGGAAGTTAGGTATTCCTGCTTTGCAGTGTATCTCTGATTTGCTGTCACCTTGAGTTATTTTACTTGCACAGACTCGTTTGAGGAAGTGCTTTTGGCACGGGAGGATGTGCCAGTGCCCAGCATCCCAGGGGTGCCTGGCCAAGGTTACACTGTCCCATCACCTTCTGAGGGACATGACTGAGAATCTTGTCAAAAATGGGCTCACCTGCCATTACTCAAAGTCATTATTCATTTGGGAGCAGATCCTAGTGCTGGATAGTGATTCCACGGCTGCAGGTTTCTGCTCTTTCATGTGTATGTGTATAAAATATTGATTTGCTCGCTATATACACAACACTTTTTATTTATATATACTGTAGATAGAAAATACGTGCAAATATTTGCACATATATAACTTGGACATTACCTCTGCTTTGTGCTGGGACTTAGATTAGATCACCTCCAGAAATTCCTTCCAACCAAAATAGTTTTTCATTTCCAGA